CTTAATACGTCTGCTGGCCACAGACTGGTTCTGGCCTGTCTCGGGAGAATGCCCAGTTCATGGATTCGTGCCCTGTATTTCACCTTTTTATGTATAGGACCTAATTATAATACATTTAAATGTTAAATCTCCACCCCAAAGTGATCATGGGATGTATGTTCCATACATGTAAACCTAATATGCATGCACGTGGGCCTCCTTCATAAATATTCATAGCTCCTCCCATAACCTATTGAATATGTATACTTGGCCAACCCAGTTCAGCATAAATTCCTGTTTTACCCCTCCCTCCCTTGAAGTGCCTGTTTGGCTTCCCAACCTGTCAGGATGGCCAGCCTGCAGGTTGTAACCCTTAATAAGAAATAACATCTTCTTTCTAAATTTACAGACTTACTTTGTGACTCTTTTTCAGTCCACAAGCTTTTTGTAAGCTTCTCCTTTCCCCAAAATTCTTGATATCTCTCCCTCCCCCCTGCAACAATGCCCTTAGTAGTGTGCTGATAAGTATTTAACAACCACTCATTTGCTCTCTGGAGGAAAAACCATGATTTGTAGTGTTTGCCAGTTTTCATGGTGTAAACATTTCCACTGTGGCTGATTTCAGATTACCAACATGACTTCAACTGGCTCAGTTGAAGTTGAATTGCTGAAAATTTAACAATTGGCTTCAATGAGCCAGTATGAGTGGTCTCCACTGCCTCCTTTATTAAGAATTGGATGCCTCCTTTATTAAAAATAAAAACATTAAAAATAATGAAGCCTAGATTTCTGAGGATTTGTACAAAGAACTTTTAATTGAAAATATATTTTTAGTTTAATAGTAGAAAAAAGGAGAAAATTATACAAAGCAGCAAAGGGAAAAGATAGAAATAGCTACTTTAATTGACAGAAGAAGCCTTTTTGTTGCCTTCCTAAAAGGTCAGCCTGGACTCACTTCTTTTCACTGAGTCATTCCAGCATGACCAGCAGAGGTTGGTAGAAGGACTGAGTATTGGGAGATAGGCCTGCGTTGTATTATTTTGCAACTTTCAGTATGCTGAGAACGCAACTTGCTCTAAAATGTGGTAGCATATGAGGGAATTTCTGACTTGGATTAGCTGCTTTTCTTGCTTTCTGTTTCTACTTAGAGACATCATATTATCCACTAGAGATCAAAGCAAATAATTCAGGTAATCAAAAGTTGCAAAAAAAACCCCATAATATTTTATAAGTGACTCCCCGTGACTTCTTCCCTTCACATTTAGCCATAATTTTTATACCAGTTCCCAAATGTTGCAAGTTTAGTTCCCATCTCTCTTTCAGCTCCAAATGGACCCTGATATTCCTTTATTTATCGCTTCCTGATTTCCTTTGTCAAAGATAAACAAAGCCAGACACTAGGTTAAGTAAGGACAGATTTTCATCAGTAACACACTATTACAATAGGACAGAGTCCTGCATCAACTGACCCCAGCTTCAGTTTGCACGGAGGTGCCTAGGCATGTTGAAGGGAGAATGAGGCCATGGAGAGAAGGCAAGTGGGGCTCAGGAGAGTCAGGAAAGCAAAAAATTACAAAAAGTGGAAGGGGAGGTTGGTCCATGTGAAACTTATCTGGTTTGCTGACTAACCAGTGCTTCTGGAATTCAGGCTCCTGCCGTCCCACAGAGGCTGGGAGACAGGGGCCACCTCTCATGCGTTGGCGGGAACAGGCTGCAAATTCTTTGCGCAGCCTTGAGTTTTCTTGGGCAGCCACTTTAAGGGGGTCTGGGGTCATTCTAGAGAAGAGGCCTTGAGCTGTTAGAAACTATGTTAGTGTTTGTTCAAGTGTTTATAGGCTGAGGTTGAGGCTAGTGGAGAAGAGGGCCCAGAGGAGCCTGGCTGGAGTTTGGACAAGGAGAGAATCTTTGTCACCTAGCAAACATTCACGGCTGATGTTGCAGGCATTCTTCTCTTTCTCAAGCCCTGAGTCCCACCCTTGACCCTCCAGCATCAGAAGACCCAGTTTTTGACTTTGTGAAGATGGTAGCCAATAGCCTGGCCATAAGCCAACCTTGTTTTCTCCTGTAGGAAGAGGGGTCTCTCTTCTGTGTGCTAACCTTGGTGCTGAAATGAACCTCTCTGCTGGCCCCTGGAGAGAATGAATTCCTTGGAAATCCTTCAGATGGAGAATTACTCTAAGAAGGGCTAGACCTGGGACTGCTCAACACAAAAGCAAATCCTTTCAAGATGACTGTCATAGTAAATTGGTTTGGGCTGCTTTTGAGCTTTAAATGAGTGGAATCACACAGATGTGCTCTTTCTTTGCTCAGATTAGTGTTTGTGAGATTCATCTGTACTGCTGTGTGTTATTAAATACAATTGACCAAAAAAAAAAAAAAAAGCCAAAAAAAGTACCCTGGTGGCAAAAGGAATATGACCTCAGTGGCAGGACTGCAGATGATGAGAAGTGGTTCCCTCCACTGCTCCCTGGCCCCTTCTACAAAACAAGCCTGTGCTTGTTTAAAAAATGTGCATTATAAGAGCTGGGCATGGTGATATGTCCCTGTATCCCAGCTACTCAGCAGGCTGAGATGGGGGGATTGCTTGAGCCTAGGACTTCGAGACTAGCCTGGGCAAAATAGCAAGACCATGTCTTTAAAAAAATACAAAGTAAAAAATAAAAAAATTTATTATACTCAAAGTAATATACACTTACTGTAAAAAAAAGTTTTAACATTATAGAAAGGTAAAAAGTATTAATCTCCCTTCTCTTGCATAAGTTATACAAACACATTTCTCAATAATAATCACTATTATTATTACTAATTATTGAGCAGTTACTATGTTAGGCATGTTTCTAAGTATTTTATAGTTATTATTTTATTAAGAAGCTTTAGTGTGTTGCCATGTCCTCAGTACTTTATTCTTAGTGCCTAGTATATAGTAGTTGTTCAGTAGATACTTGAACACCTACCATTTTACATCTACCAGTTGGACAAAAATTGAGTCTGACAATTACCAAGTGTTGATAAGGATGAGAAGCAACAGAAAATTCTCATATCCTGCTGAGGGTGAAAATTAGTACATTTTCTTTGTAGAGTAATTTGATTACATCTCAAATGTGCAAATTCTAGTATAAACCATTTTCATTCCTAATATATTAATATATTAAATGTACTCTTGCACATATGCTCAAGGAGAAACATACAAGAATTTTACTGTAGTATTCTTTGTATTGTATTATACAAAAGCATTGTAGCATTGTGTATATCACTGTCTCTCTCTACATGCACATATAGCACAGACATTATTTTTTGTTCTGAATCATTTGGGAGTAAGTTCAAGACATCACGACCAAATTGCAGAAGGATTAGCATTTGTAAAATATGCAAAATATGCAAAACAATACTATAATATTTATAAATACCTACATAAATAGCAGAAACAGAAAGATAAGAACACGAATGATAAACACTAAATTCAGGTAAGTGGCCACCTTGGGAACGGGGAAGAAAATGTGTTCAGGGAGGGTTACCTGGAAGCCTCACCATCTGGAATATTTTTCTTAAGCTCTATGGTGGCTACATATTACTGGCTGTAACTTTTTTGCATGACTAATGTATTTTATAATTTTTAGAAAATCAGCCAGGTGCCATGGCTCACACCTGTAATCCTAGAAATTTGGGAGGCTGAGGTGGGAATATCGCTTGAGGTCAGGAGTTCGAGACTAGTTTGAGCAAGAGTGAGACTCTTATCTCTACAAAAAACAGAAAAATTAGCCCAGCATGATGGTGCCCACCTGTAGCTACTTGGGAGGATAAGACAGGAGGATCACTTGAGCCTAGGAGTTTGAGGCTGCAGTCAACTATGATGATGACATTGCACTCCAGCTGGGGTGACAGAGTGACTCTGTCTCCAAAAAAAAAAAAGCGTCCATTCCTATTTTAATGAAAGTTAAAAAAATCAGGACTGAATGTTGCATAATTTAATGCCGCCTTGGTGTTTATTAAAATACCATTTTATTTTGAAAACTGGCCCTGGTCTCTGTATCCTGGTGTATGTGACACACCTAATACATGTTTATTGAATAAATAAATACCTGTGCCTCTCTCAATTCTTCTATATCTGAGCCCTACTAATTTATGTCAAGGCCAAGATCCTCTCTGCAGACTACCCTCTTCAGCGAACTGTACCAATTACCACACACTTAGGGGGCCCTAGCATAGTGATACGTGCCACCAACGGGGTATAACCTTGGGGAAGTGTCTTCTCGTGTTTCTTTTGTCCCAGAGTTAGCTCCTCTCCTCATTTGTCACACGTACTTCAATTAAACTATTTATTTCCCAGTTAGGGAGGACAAGGACCTTGCCTTATTAATCATTGTATTCCCAGAATCCAGAACTGACATACAGTAGACTCCCTGGAAATGCTTGCTGAACGGCATTGAGACGACAAATTTGCATGTGTCTGATACAAATGCACGCAAATGTTTTTTAAAAAATAAATTTTTAATTTTAGAATAGTTTTAGATTTACAGAAAAGTTGAAAAGATAGTACAGAGCATTCCCTTGTGCCCCTCACCAGTTTTCTCTATTTTTTTTTTCTTATTTTTTTTCCTTTTTATTATTCCTCAGATTCAAGTGAGATACATGGTTTTCCCTATTGTTAACCGAACCTCCACCTCCACCCGGCCTTTACAGACATCCCCTGGCCAACATGCTTCGAAAAATAAAACGTTCCTGGCGTCGGCAATCCTCTCCTGTGGTAAGGTTTTCTCAAAACTCTCTTTGCGCAACCCGCTTCCCCGGCCCCCGCGCAACAAGAATAACCGGCTGCCGCCGCCTCCAGCCTCCGGGAGGGCTAGAAGATGAGGCCCCTCGGACGGTCAGAGCAGTGCCGGACAAACGCTGGGACGGAGCCGTGGGCCGCCGTCCGCCCCTGCCAGTCCCGGCAGCGGACCTGGAGCCAGAGGCGCGGCCCCGGGCAGCTTCCCAGCCGAAGCCTCCCGACCTGGAAGCGGCGCGGCGGCGACCGGCGCGCAAGGCGGCGTGGGCGTGGCCGTGGGCGCGGCCCCGGCGCGGCGGCGCGCGCGGGGTGAAGGGAACGCGGCGCGCAAGTGGCGGCGACGGCGGCGGCGACGGCGGCGGTTGCTGCGCCCGGTACTGGGGTCGCTGCCTGAGGCGCAGGCGCAGTGGACTCAGCCCGCCCCGGGCCGCGGCTCGCTGTGGGCTCGTCATGGCGACCGAGCAGAGGCCTTTCCACCTGGTGGTGTTCGGCGCCTCTGGCTTCACCGGCCAGTTCGTGACCGAGGAGGTGGCCCGGGAGCAGGTGGACCCGGAGCGAAGCTCCCGCCTGCCCTGGGCCGTGGCGGGCCGCTGTCGGGAGAGGCTGCAGCGAGTGCTGGAGAGGGCTGCCCTGAAGCTGGGTAAAGGGGGCAGGGTGGGACGCGGCTTGGCGGCCCGCGGCGCAGCCTCCTCCGAGCCCCCGAGCCCGGCCGAGGACTCGACATTGCCTGAAACGAGCTTTTCTCCCCCGGGGACGCGCCCTCCATCGGCCCCCCAGCCCTGCTTGAGGACCGGAGGGGGAGAGGGATGTTTCAAATATTGTCATGGCTTTGTTCCACCCCCCTAAATTAAAAAATTATTTTTTAAATAATATTTTTTCTCCTCTTCCCCGGTTTTGAATTTCTCCCTCAGTTTGGAGAGTCCTCCTGGCGAAATAGCGTCAAGACCTTTCATTGTCCCTTTCTCTCCTCCGTCCTGCTGTAGAGCAGGGATACCTGTTGGGTTTGAAGGTTTCTTGTTATTTGGTCCGATAGGAAAGTCGGGTGTTGGTTTCTTCGAGATTGTTTGTACTTTCCCTTTCCCTTGTGTTTTGGAGACGGTAGAGAAAGTTTGTCGAGTTTTACTCATAACGTTGTTTAACAATTTTTTAAAAGAAGTTTTTTGCTTGTAGGAATGATTCGTCATCAAAAAAAAGTTTGTGTATCTGGTTTGGACGTTTACTTATTCTTTCAGCATTCATTGAACGTGTATTTACTGCGTGGTCTTTTCCATGCTAGGTCCTGCCCTAAGTGCTGGGGTTGCAGAATGAGAGAGAGGGAGGAGACAGACACAGACCCTACTTCATGGTTGGGGGACACGACTAACTTAGGACTGGATAGCCTTTAAATTTGGCTGTTAATTCTCCACCCTAGACTCCTCATACAGACAGCCAGCTGTTAAGAGTTGTGGGTGTGCTACATTCTTCCTGTTTAACCTTATAATTTCACACAGAGCCCTGTTTATAGTGGGAATATAGGATCTTTTGTTTGTGGATATGTACAGAAGGATACTATGTAGGCTGGACTCTCCTATAACTCTTGGTGTTGCCACTACCCACATATAGAATCTTAACCAAAGAGCTTTTTGGTCTTTATTTTTCCGAAAGAAGTAATTTCACTGTTGAAATACATTCTCCCATTTCTTTTTCCTGCTCAACACCATGCAGGTACAGACTAGTTATCTACCATTTGTAGTGCCCAAATCAAGTACACCTTGACCCATCAAAACCTGCATTGCTCTATTGAGTCAGTTAATTCTAATTATTTCCTTATTATGAGCCTAGGTATTTTTTATAGAGTGTGCTTTTCACATTGGAGTTCTCTTTTGTTCTCATGATTTTGATGTTAACAAACCCCCTCCATCTCCTATAATTGGATCATATGTAATAGTTTAGTAGTTGATGAAAAACTATTTTTATGATATAAATTTCTTGATGGAGAGGAAGTTAGGACACATCTACTCAGCATCGAAACTTGATATAAAATTGTCATGTTACACAGGGTTATTTACACATTGCTTATGTTAGATGATTTTTTAAAGGTTAGTAATGTTTTTTAGTAACTCTTAGTGTTAACTCTATTTTCCTCATAGCCTTTTCCTTTTCCTTTTTTTACTTGAGACAGGATCTTACTTTATTGCCCACTCTGTTGCAGTGGCATCATCATAGCTTATTGCAACCTCAAACTCTTGGGCTCAAGCAATCCTCCTGCCTCTGCCTTCCAAGTAGCTGGGACTACAGGCATGTGCCACATGTCCAGCTAATTTAAAAAAATTTTTTTTAGTGAGACGGGGGTCTCACTATTGCCCGGGCTGATCTTGAACTCCTGGCCTCAAGCCATCCTCCTGGTTCAGCCTCCCAGCCTTTTCCTTTTTTATTACCTGATTAAAAACAGTTTTATCTCTTGTTTGAGAGGAGGAGTCAGCTTTTAGTTTTATCAGTATATATAGTAATTTGCTGTCACTGATTACTGTACAAAGAAGATCTGGAAGATGTATTAAATAATATGATACCAAAATTTT